ATTTCTTTTTTCAAACATTTTCATGAAGATTTTTCAACTTTTGACGGACATGCCATGCAAAATTAGAATTTTAACAAAAGAAAATTTCCCAAAAATTTTTCAAAATGCTTTGATTTGATGAGAAGGTGAATATTTTGTGTTTAAAACTCCAAAAAGTATTTTATATGAATATTTCAAAAATCACCAAAAACATGCCTTACGATATCCTTCCTACCATGAAAAATTGCTGAAAAATAAAAAGTCCCAGAAATGTCTTAAAATGCAAGATTATGTCGTAAAACATGCTACCAGTTGAATATTTTGTGTTTAAAACTCTAAAAAGTATTTTATATGAATATTTCAAAAACCATCCAAAACATGCCTTACTATAGCCTTACCATCATGAAAAATCGCAAAAAAATAAAAAGTCCCAGAAATTTCTTAAAATGCAAGATTATGTCGTAAAACATGCTGCCAGGTGAATATTTTGCGTTTAAAACTCCAAAAAGTATTTTATATGAATATTTCAAAAACCATCCAAAACATGCCTTACTATAGCCTTACCATCATGAAAAATCGCAAAAAAATAAAAAGTCCCAGAAATGTCTTAAAATGCAAGATTATGTCGTAAAACATGCTGCCAGGTGAATATTTTGTGTTTAAAACTCCAAAAAGTATTTTATATGAATATTTCAAAAATCACCAAAAACATGCCTATTATAGTAAGGCATGTTTTGGGTAATTTAAAAATAAATTTTTAACATCTGACCAGAAATTTGGGTTTTGTCAAAAAAAAATCAAAAACAGAATTTCCCAAAGAATTGGGTTTTGTCTATTTTCATGAGAAATATGCAAAACAGATAACATTTTGAAAAAAAATCAAAAATTATTTTTCAAAATTTTCAACATTTGACCAAAAGTTTGGGTTTTCACGACAAATTCCAAAAAAATCAATTTTTCCAAAATTTTCAAAACACTATTTTCATGAGAAATATGCAAAACAGATAACATTTTGAAAAAAAATCAAAAATTATTTTTCAAAATTTTCAACATTTGACCAAAAGTTTGGGTTCCATCCATCCATCCATTTTCATCCGCTTATCCGTTACCGGGTCGCGGGGGCAGCAGTCGCCACCCAAATCACATTGCACCGTACCAACCCCCCTGAACCTTTCTGCGGGTGTTGAGTCCACTGGAAGATAAAATTTTGAAAAAAAAAAAATTTTTTTTTCAACATTTAAACAAAAATTTAGGTTTTCATGAAGAATTCCGAAATTTTTATTTCCAAAAAACTTGTTAAAAAGCTATATGTTTTATTTTCACAGATGTTTTTCAAAATTTTTCTACATCTGACCAAAAATTTGTGTTTTGACGACAAATTCCAAAAAAGAATTTCCCAAAAATTTTAAAATATAATTTTTGATTTTTTTTTCTAAATGTTATCTGTTTTGCATGTTTCTCATCAAAATACAGCGTTTTGAAAATCTTTGGATTTTTTTTTTATTTTTTGTAAAACCTAAATTTTTGGTCAGATTTATAAAAATTCTGATTAACATTTTTGAAAAAGAAAACGTCAAAATACGTTTTTTTGCATGTTTCTCATCAAAATAAAGCTTTTTAACAAGTTTTTTGGAGAAAAAAAAAATCGGGATTTTTTTTGCCAAAACCCACCTTTTTGGTCAAATGTTGAAAATTTTGAAAATAATTTTTGATTCTTTTTTTCAAAATTTTAGCCTTTTTGATTGTTTCTCATCAAAATATAGCTTTTTGGAAAGTTTTTGGGGAAAGTTTTTGGATTTTTTTATTTTAATATTTCAGCAGAACCCAAACTTTTGGTCAGATGTAGAATTTTTTTTCTGAAAACAAAATTTTACATTTTATCTTTTCTGCATGTTTCTCATCAAAATATAGCAGACTGAAAATTCTTTTGGAAATTTCTTTTTGGAATTTTTTTGACAAAACCCAATTTTTTGGTCAGATGTTAAAAATTTTAAAAATAATATTTGATTTTTTTTCAAAATGCTATATTTTGATGAGAAACATGCACAATGAAATAGAATTTTGAATCTTTTTTTCAAAAATGTATTTTAGAATTTTTCTACATTTGACCAAAAATTTGGGTTTTGTCAAAAAAAATTTCAGAACGCTATATTTTAAAGAGAAATATGCAGTAAAGATAAAATTTTGAATTGTTTTTTAGAAATTTTTTTTACATCTGACCAAAATTTTGGGTTCTGCCAAAACATAAAAAAAAAAATCTTTCAAAATGCTATATTTTGATGAGAAACGTGCAAAAAAGCTAAAACTTGAATTTGACCAAAAAGGTGGGTTTTGCCAAAAAAAATCCCGAATTCTCTTTTTCCAAAAAACTTGTTAAAAAGCTATATTTTGATGAGAAACATAAGAAAAGATCATATTTTGAATCCTTTGTTTTATCAATTTTCCAACATCTTACCAAAAATGTGGGTTTTGCCAAAGAATATCCAAAAAAAAATCAAAACATTATATTTTGATATGAAACATGCAGAAAAGATAAAATTTTGAAAAAAAAATCAAAAATTGTCAAAGATTTGGGTTTTACTGAAGGATTCCCAAAAAAAACATTTTTCAACATTTGACCAAAAATTTTGGGGTTTCTGACAAATTCCAAAAAAACAATTTTTCCAAAACATTTTTCAAAACGTTAGAGAAACATGCAGAAAAGATAACATTTTGAAAATAATATTAAAAATTTTCCAAATTTTCAACATTTCACCAAAAATGTGGATTTTGCTAAAAAAATTTCCCAATAAAGTTTTTCCAAAAACACGCATACAATTTAAAAAAAAAAATTGGGGTTTTTACCAAATAATTAAAAAAATGTATAAACATTTTTTCAAAATGCCCTAATTTGGTGAGATACACGCAGAAAACAGATTTTTTAAATTTTCTTTTTCAAATATTTTCATGAAAAATGTTCAACTTTTGACCAACATGATATGCAAAATTAGGATATTACCGAAACATAAAAAAAAACCTAAAAGTGTTCTCTAAATGCTTCCTTCATAATTTTTCATCATCTGAGTAAAAATTTGTTTTTTGTCGAAAAGGTTTTTTAAAAATTCTCTTTTTAATTTTTTTCTTAATTCTCTTAATCCTCTAATTTGATGAGAAACATGCAAGCTTTGTGTTGGCTTCATACTTCATTGTGTTAAAAGTACCCATAAACTAGAGGCTACAGTAAGGTCTCTAATCAGAGCAATCCCAGCCGTTATCAGAGGGGTGTAGCAGCAGCAGCAGCAACAGTGCTGGTTTCCTCCTGGTCTCTGCTTTAATTACTTGCTTCTGCATTTACATGGAGGAGGGTAACTGGGGTGATTGTGCCTTATCACCTATCTGGGAGAATAAAAGCTCACCCAATTATTTTGTTTGGATGCTAATGATTGCGTTTCATTAGCGGACGCTCTCAGCACCTCCTCACCCAGTAAATGAATGAATATGCTGTAATTTCAATTATTGGAATTATGAAAATTGCTTTTAAAAAGACGACACGGGTATCATCAGCTTTCCACTGTGACATAATGCCATTCTAATTTTCCATAATAGTTTTAATTGTCTGGGTCCCCACTGTGCATTAATCATTTAACTGTATTGTCTTTTTCCCCTTGTGCAAACACCTAAACCCAGCAAACTCCCACGTGCTTCTCCCATCCCATCTTTGGAAATACAAAATCCCAATCAGCACGGTTATCTTAAGACTGATGAGAGACGAGGAAAACAGAGAGGAGTTGGAGATGAAATCAGAACTTTCTCTTCATCTGTTTAGTATCACTGTGACCAATTCAACTCAAAAACAGCCTTCATGCAAATTCCCACGGTGGAGTATAATTCAACACAGCGCCCTCTATCTCGACTACTGCTAAAAGTTTTCCGTACAGGCTTAAATGGATGAGGACAGAGACAATTTGTTGTTTTGTTATTGACTTGAACTTGATTTAAATAATAATGTTTTGTTATTGACTTGAACTTGATTTACGTAAAGAAAATAAATAAATAACAGTCACAGATACATCAGTAAGAAGCAGATGTGGTTCAGGAGTCACGTGTTGACCTCTGCTCTGGTTCAAGGTCACAGAAAACTGTCAGTCAGAAATCAATGATTGTGGGTTAGCACAGAAAAAAGGTGCTTTTACTGTGCTTGCAAATAATGCCTGGTTGTAACAATGCAAACCCTTTGGGGGCATTTTTATTTTTGCCACTGGCTTTGATTTGCCCTTGTGTTGCCATGCGGTCATTGTGAACCCAAGTGAAAGGTTTACGTTAAGCTTTTTTTGGTTTCACTTACATTTTTTGTCATAGTTGATTGGACTGCAGTTGCACTAAAGGTTTAACACTGATTTTAGTTCCAAGTGATGTGTAACATGAATCGGTTCTTCATGAAAAAACACCGTCTTACACCGAAAAACAAATAAATAAATAATAAATAATAACAATAATAATCATACATAACATAATTCTCAGCAGCATAATTGCAGAAATTATGAGAATTCACTGAACAATTTCTTTTAATGTACAAGACGTTTCTTTATTTATTTTAAGCCAAATCCAGTAGCTCTACTGACAACGTGTGTTTTTCAAAGACATCTTTTTTCCCTTGCATTTACACAGGGATCGTCTGTAGTACTTTTTGTTGCCATGGTTGAGATGGTGTCTCTTCAAACCTTTCTTTGAAAGCACAAATAGGTCAGCGGTCAAGGATGTCACACCACGTTTAATGACAACAACTATGTCTTTGTGACAAACCTGACCTCCTTCTCCTTCTAAACATGGAGACTGAATTTTCAATTACGACAAACCTGACCTCCTTCTCCTTCTAAGACTGGATTTTCAATTATTCTCTATGACTTTTTTTATCTTGATAATACAGATATTGCCAGAGTTGCCAGATCAGTAAAAAATACCCTTTAATTATGTTCACAATCAGGAATGTTGTGTTGGTGACACAGCTCTAAAACTGGTATTTTCTAAATATAATAATAGCCGTTAAGCCACTGTGTAGTCAACTTTGTTACTTACGTCCTCGTAAGCTTGGTCTCCACGTGGTCTCCATCGCCTCATTGGAGAGCCGCCCACCCCGTATTACGCAGCGTGGGCTTGGTGCGTGGGGACAACGTGTCGCAATAAATCCATATTTCCAGCAGGACTCCTGGAATAGTCTGTTAAATGGAGCTTTCTTCTTCTTTGAAGACGTAGGCTCTTCTTCTGTCTCCTCATTAGCTCTTTTACCCTGCACAAAGAAACCCTACAAAGACGTTTGTTTTCTCTTCATTTTGTTAGCTTAGGGGGTTACAATTTAGCGGTAAAGTACTACGTGTTACTGGCCGGAGTAAAGAATTATGAGGAAGAGGAGATAAAAACATCAGTGATCGCTAAGACTCTAGCTAATACGTTATATTACTGAAGTTAATTAGTTAATAAGCAGTTACTTGCAAAACAACACAGGTCACATTTCCTATTATTTTCTTCTAACGTTTTTGCGATTATCCTGGTTTTCCACAGACGACCAACTGCCTCCAGCATTTCCTACTGTTAAAGCCAAAACAACTGCTGTCAGACGAAGGGCCTGTAAGTCAAGTTACGCAACTGTCCCGTTTATTTATTCACCAGTCCGTGACTGTGGTGCAGAGAGCAGAGGCGTGCAGCAGCAGCAGCTCCACCACAGGAGAACGTCTGACTGACAGCCTCGAGGAGCTCTCCACCGTCTCCTCCATCACTCCTGGAGAGGGAGGAGGTCAAGTGCACCCCCTCAAACAAACACACACTCGGATGCCAATGCAGAACAACCTTGCCGAGGCTTTTTAGCCGCAGCTATTTTTCTTAAAACCTCATGTCATCAAGAGCACCAGCGGCATCTCTCCCAGACTCGATCTTGAACCTGGAGAAAGGGGAAGGAGGAGAAGTGTGGGCCAGGAACCCGGGCAGGAAAATACCACGGTGTGTTTGAAGAATCATGCACCAACCTCCACATGCTTCTCTGTAGTGTGCTTAAAAAAGAGAGGGAAAACAGGCTGCAAGGACGAAACGAACCCACACAAAAATCCAACCATCAATAAAACTGGTCCATGTTGTGTTTACACTCAGGGCCGTCCTTCATATGCCATAATACTGTAGGAACAAAAGATTTCATCCAATGCATCTTTAATGCATAAATACCAGACAGATCTGAAATTGATCACCTATGTCTAAAATCTGGCCCAGGGCACAATCGTTGCACACAGACAGCTTTTGTGTGGCCGACAACTTTGGACTTAAAACTAAATTCATTGGTCTGCCTTCATTAGCTTGTTTTTTTTAACAAGGATGTTCAGAAAAGTCCCAATTGACTCTGATTCTGTTGCTATCTTTTAGCTATTTTCTGAGCTGACGTCTTGTATCTTGTATCTCTTTGTGGCCTTATTCATACATAAAATATATAAATGCATCTTTATATCTATCGTTTTATTTATCCCTTACTGTCTTTGCTTTTCTTTCCTGATTTCTTTAAATCAATTTATTTCCTTTTTCACATTCGCACATTAAAATGTTTTACAATAATGAAAGGTGAGAGTTTGAATGAGAGGGAAATTAAAGAACAATTTTCCCGATCAACGCATTAATGACAGTAGCAGACATCACACCGACACACCTGAGCCATTCACATGAGGCCCACATGAAACCAGCTGACCAGACTAGACCCTGACCAGACCCAGCTGACCAGACTAGACCCTGACCAGACTAGACCCTGACCAGACCCAGCTGACCAGACTAGACCCTGACCAGACTAGACCCTGACCAGACCAGACCCTGACCAGACTAGACCCTGACCAGGCTGACCAGACAGACCCTGACCAGACTAGACCCTGACCAGACTAGACCCTGACCAGACTAGACCCTGACCAGACTAGACCCTGACCAGACTAGACCCTGACCAGACTAGACCCTGACCAGACTAGACCCTGACCAGACTAGACCCTGACCAGACTAGACCCTGACCAGACTAGACCCTGACTAGACCAGACCCTGACTAGACCAGGCCCAGCTCGGTCTACTGCCCCTTCAGCCCACTTCGTATCCACACCAGACATATAAGAATTCTGTCTGATTTAAAAGCTCCGTGTTGCTAACGGCATGTCAGGAAAGTTGTTTGGGTTTAAACTAGAGTGCACATGAGTTCCCTAATAAAGTGGACACTCACAGTTTAATCAAGTGAGATGAAAAGAAAACACTACTATCAATGTAGAGCCAAACAGTGGCAGGAGTTTCACCGTGGATTCACTGGAACTGAGAACAGATTCAATTATACACACACTCATAACCTAATAAGAATAATAGTAGTAGTAGTAGTAGTAGTAGTAGTGATAGTAGTAGTAGTAGTGGTAGTAGTAGTAGTATCTAGCATCATGTCAGTCTAATCCCAAAGTTAAGTTTACAGCAGTGATGCAGCCCTGTGCCTTTATTTTTCTTTTCTTTTTTTCATTTTGTTCTGTTAGTTTTCTAGGTGACTTTGAAAAGAAAGTTGTAGAAGAAAGCCAGTACATGGCAGTAATACAACTCAAAGAATTAAAACTTAAAGAAGAAATATAAAAAAAGAGCTAAAAACAAAAAAAAATCAGTAATACAACTCAAAGAATTAAAACTCAAAGAAGAAATGTAAAAAAAGAGCTAAAAAAAAAAACTACAATCTGAGATGGTTGAAGGATCTGAGTCCCAGCTACAGGTACTTCACTCCAAATGTAACGACATTAAAAAAAGCTCTGACGTAAACAGGAACCAAGGACTAATGTCTTTTATCTTCATAAAACATATTAATGTCCAGGAGTAGAGAGTGGAGTGGACTTATTTGAGAAGAGCTTCTCTAAAGTACTCGCATACCTTTCTCCGTTTATTTATCCTTACATTTTAATGTACGTTAAAGGAAAAAAAAGTATTTCATATTTTTTACCAGTCGTCCGTTCAGGGTCTCTTTGACAACAGAAATCAATCCGCTTCTCTCTGACTGCTTCATCTTTGCTGCTTCCAAGGTTCCACGGCCTGAGACTGGGAGCAGCTCTTTACACAATTGTGCCACCTGCTGGAAGAGAAGGGTTAAACGTAGAAAAGTTAACTGTAGAGCATAAAGCAGAAGAAAAATACTCACACAGTAAATTCACTGATAAATAAATGATGAAAAACAATGGATGGATGTTTTAATGTCAGGGTGTTCTTCTCAAAATAGAAGATTTTTTTCATCTAAAAGTTTTAAAAACAAGATGGATTTTATAAGAAATAGTGGTGGGTAACAACCACAAAAGAATCCAGATAAAGATGCTCTGTAATTTAATTAATTTAATTTAATTATCAAATGAAAATATTTGAAACAATAAGCAAAAATGTAAAGTTTCAATTACAACCTCTCAGTATAATCGCAACAATTATTATATATTTTTTATTATTATTATTTTTATTATATTATATTATATTATATTATATTATATTATATTATATTATATTATATTATATTATATTATATTATATTATATTATATTATATTATATTATTGTGGTACCAGAACCATTGTAGCTAAGATTACAAATTACTGCTGGTTTAATTCAACTTAGAGGAGGAGGAGGAGAAGAAGGAGGAGAAAGAGAAGGAGGAGAAGGAGTCCCTGTGTCTGCCTGATGGCTGCAAACACAGGCCTCAGAACCACTGAGCAGCTGCTCTTCAGAAACCAGGATACACACTGTAGAGTTTCAGCACGTCTGTCTGAGTCAAGGTGAGGAAAAAGAAGAGGAAGAAAATTCATCAGAAGCGACAAGTTTGTTAGTCCCTTTTCTCTGGTTGATGAGGGCCCAGTTGTAACGGAGCCTCCTCCTCCTCCTTATGTCTAAATATGTTTGACAAATGATTTCAGAGATGAAGATGAAGAAGAAAGTGAAGATGGGTTGTCCTGGTGAAGATGATTACGTACAAACTGAGTTAGAAAAACAGTGTGTGAGAAGGACAGGGACATCAGGAGTGTGTGAGAATGCAAGAGTGTTTGAGAGAGACAGGCACACACACACACACACTCACACACACACACACAGTCTGGCGGCTCTTCTGCATTTCCTAAAAGCAGGAGATTTTTTTTTTACCCACTCACCAAAAATACAAAGAGCAGCTCAGCGTGATCCCAGCAGGGGGCTCTCAGAAAAACCATCAGCTCTGAGAGGAGGGCCAGAGCTGAGACCTCAGTATGGAGAAAAGGCTGTGTAGGAACACACACACACACACACACACACACACACACACTTCATAGGTCCCATAGAAAAGAATGTATCACAGAAATACAGCACAGGCAGGTATGTTCAAACTCTGGTCCAAGGCCCAACCGTTGCACTTTGACATATTGTACTTGGTATATTTTTAAAAAAAATATATTTTGACACTTAATGAGGACGTTAGAACATTTACTTTTTCAGGTGGCAGTAGGAATGAGATCAGTCGGTTTGGATCTATTTTCAAGATTTTTTTCACAAATCTCATGGTAGCTAAAGTTATGTCTGGACCAACTCTTAGATATTCCTTGATAGACAACAACACACTCATCACCACTACGGATTATTTTCTTTTTTGCTTTTTAGAAAAAAAGGGTTAAATTTAAGGCGTGATGGGCATTTTATCTTTTATTTTAGTTTTTAGTTTTTTAGGTCACATCAGCTTGTGTTGCTCTAACATCCGATCTTATGTTGAAACTTCATACGAGAACGAACTATTTCACACTGATTATTAAAAACTAATTGTTTAATAGACCAACTTGCAGTGTAAGAAACCAAACGTTTTAGGAAGACTTAAATAAAGACTAGTCCGGGGAGACGACTCATTCCTCCTGTAGGGGGGGCTGATTTGACCGTCCAGCTCCTCAGACGGACATATATTTACGTACAAACTGGGTTCAGTGTCAGATCTTTGGGGAACGCTCACGCTCACAGGCGGTGCCGTGGACCCTCCCACCATGTTACCATTGTAGCAGCCATTGTAACAGTTTTGTCTGAGCCATATGGGCAGCTTTAGGGATGTGGACCCCCGGCAGCTGAGGCTTTGTCCCCGTGTGGCAGAGGTCGCTGGGATTGTGTTCCAGGCTAATTCCCTCTTTCAGGGAGTGCAGATCAGAGTCTATAATGATCTGGGCGGCCCAGCGCAGGGATTACTGCTGCTGCTGCTGCTGCTGACGCAAACTAGTGTGTGTGTGTGTGTCTGTGTGTAGACAGATATAATGCTTCTCATCTACAGGAATCAATTGATTTCTTGTCTCAGCCTCAAATACATACACACACACACACACACACGTTTGGGTTTTTCCAGCTCATTTCCTTCAGTCCATCTTAAGCAAACGTTATTAGCAGTGAAAGTGACGCCAGTGGAGTGAAAGTAAATGACATCTTGTGTTTCCACTGATCTCCGTTGTCACTCTGAGGATCAACAATGACACAACTGCCAGGATGTTTTACCTCAGTGTCTGTAGAGCAGCAGCTTCTCACACTCTAATAATTAGACTCTAACGACTGATCACACCCTCGTTTACATCCTATCACTTGTTCCAGGGCGGAGAATGTTGCCCTTGGGAGTGATGTGTGGGGCAAGTTTGGTCATTTTAGGGCTTTCTTTTTTCTACTCCACCTATTGAGACATTTTGGATATTGTCTATACCATTTTTTTGTATAATACTTGACTAACTTTTATTGCCTTTTTAGCCAATTGTTACTTATTTAATTAGCAATATCAATCACTGTACAACAGTGTCCAGGCAGCTGTTAGCTAGCTGCTAAACATGAGCTACTTCAGCTACATTTATGTCTGACTTTTTCTAGCCTTATTTTTTATAGTTTTATTGTTAGTTCAAATATGACATCCATAGAATACAGTTGAGTTTGATCTATTGTGATGTGCTAGATTATAGGTGTGTGCTTTAGCTGGTTTTGTTTTTATTATTAAATTAACCTAGTTTTTCTAGAATTCTGGCTCGCTTACGGCTATCTCTGGGTTAACTTTTTGATATCGACCTAGAACATAGAATACTGTAGGTTCATAAACAAATAAATCATTATTGTACTTTTTTTTTACATCTTCCATCTTTTGCACTGATGGAAATTCAATATGTGAGCGAGTCCACGTATATTACATTTGCATATAGATTGAGTCCGAAAAAAGAATTAAACGTGTGAGCAGAGCAAAATAAATCAACATTATATGGAAAAAGGATCAAGGTTCAGATTACTTCAGTCAATGTCAATGACACAAAATATTTCATTATAAAATCATATATTTTCTTAAGTAGAAATATTGTTTTATCCCCTCAGAAATGTACTAATAATATCCCAATAGTACTGCACATTATAAAAAATGACTGAGTAAAACTAACCAGTCTGAATATTAATTAATGTGGTTTTATGCTGAGATACATTATAACTTTTTTTCTCTTTCCTTTGTTTCCACTCTTATACTGTTTGTTTTGCAGCCATCCTTCATCCAGAGTTTAAAAAAAAAAGAATTGGACTTCATTGAAATTCATGGTCTGGAGGACCAGCGAGCACACAAGGCCAGCAGATAATAGGCTGACCCATTTACCCTGCACTTTTATTTCTCCTCCTCTGTCGTCTGTACCCCCACCCCCATCTCTACCTCCTCACCAACCAAACCCCTGGCTTTAGATTGATCGTGGTCAAGGCGAGATGACAGCTGCCTCCTCGGCATTAGCAATGCAAATGAAGAGAAAGATGAAGAAGAAGACGGAGAAGAAGAAGAAGGGGAGAGTCAGAGAGAAGATCAGGATCTAACACAGGTGCTAGAGGAGGCTGTAGAAGAAGGAACGGCTAATGGGACGAAAGGCATCATGGGATACCTCGAAAAAAAAAACAACAACAACAACAATATATTGTCTCAAAATCCTGAATTGTAGCGTTCATTTACAGAATTATAAATTATGTTAAAAGTAGAGTATTATATCATTGAAGGTTGTTAGTGCAGTAAACAAAGACATTATAACTGCAGGGGGAGCTACAATTTCAATTTGCTCTACCATGACTCTAGGGCAAAAAACGTATTCAAACATTTTAGTTGTACTATTTTAACTATTTTGACTTAAACTTTTGGCATTATTAAAGAAGCACAGCTCAATGTTAGCCTCAATGTTGCTCAACGTATATAGATCCAGCAGAGTTCGTTCTTTCTTCAGCACTGAGTTTATGCAACTCTGAGTTCATGTTTGTGTAATTCAGGGTTATTGGTTTTTAGTTTATACCGCAAGGTGTGTGTTTATGCTAACGTGGAGGGAATGTTCTCAAAGAACAGGATCAATTCACAGAATGTATTAAGCAAGTATAGGATGTAGGTTAGCACTCAAGAAAAAATACTTACAAAAATTTGTGCCACAGGAAGGAAACGCCAGCAGGCGATTGTTCCAAAGCTCCACAGAGACGTATCGTCATGGAAACGGCTGCGGCACTTGAGATAAGTGCTGTAGTGGAAACTCAGAGCCAGTCATGTGCACATCAATGACATTTGCTAAAACAAGAGACAGAAATAAAGGAGAAATACACAAAAGTTAGTCGAATAATAAAAAACAAAACGGCTAAATGGAAGGCCTGAATAAACCTAGAAGTTCCACACAAAACTGTTTGAAATTGCCCAAAAGAAGTTGTCTTACTGTTACCCAAAAGTCAGAGTCAAAATAATCAATCATTAGTCCAGAGATTGCTCCAACATTGATCAATTAATATCTTGCTATGAGTTGAAAAATTAACAAAATAAGGTCAGACAAAAGACATAATTTTGCCCTATAAATGCATAATATTAATATTACAATATATATAAATATATTTATTCATAAGTGAGCCAAAGATGAACTAAAGGCAAAAAATACCTGAAAAACAGCAAAAACAAAAATAGGTAGCCAAAACATTTGCTGCAATAACTTAAAATGCTAAATATTAGCCTAGCATTATGGCCCTGATAAATAAATAATAAATTAATAGTAATATTAGCCAATCAAAGTTAAGAGTAATGAGCTAGACTTAAATCAGTCCAATAAATACATACAATAGGGCAACATATTATTCCAAGGAAGCCCATACATCGGACTGTGAAGTGAAGTAAACATTAGCATAACTTAGCTCACAAACATTAGCATAGCACAGCTAGTGGTTAGATTAAACTGTTCAAATGCAATATGTTAAATGAAAAACGCTCCTTTAAAATTGTTCCAGGATGTGATTTCATTCTTCTTCTGTGACATGTATTGATCATTTCCGTGATGACACCTCATCGCTGCAGTTACTTCTCGGAGGCCACCTCAGATTTCACAGGGCCACAGATCGACACAGAGGAGGAACAAGTGAACTTTCCTGGTCCTTTACAAACCCTGGAGTGGTCGTCCTCCCACTGCCAGAGCACAATTCAATTCTGCACACATTCATTCATCTCCTGTGTTCTCTCTGTGTGTGTGTGTGTGTGTGTGTGTGCAGACACACACACACACACACATGCTTGTGTGACAGAGTGAGGACAGCACTCTCTGCCTTTTCTTCATCTGGGAGAAAGTGAAAAAACAGAGTGGGGGTCTTCAGCTCTCTCTCTCTCTCTGTCTCTCTCTCAGAGGATCCTCTCTTACCCCCTGACCTGTCCCCACCTCGCCCTGGGTGGACTCCCCCAGACTCCCTTCTCAGACGTCCCCCTGTCTGTGTGATAGCACTACTCTTTGTGAGAGGCTCAACAAAGAACAGGAAGCCCCGGGGTCTGCAGGGGCAGGACTGAAGGTCAGCTCAATCAGTCTCTGAGTATGATGGATGCAGCACGGGGGGCCAGCAGGGTGGGATCCTGGGGGCCCAGTCACCTGAAAATGCACCAAACAAGATGGTCTAATGCGTGCACCCCTGACCTGGGCTTTATTTTTCAGCACTCATTCTCTCTTTCTGTCCCTCAGACGTTCAAATGCTCTGCTGTGAGTTAATGTATCTGCACACACACACAGTTACTTTGATACAGTGTTGTAATAAAACTGACCGCTGTAGGTGAATCCAACAGACCAATTAAGAAAATCCGAGGAATTTAAATGAGCTAAAGCTTTTTATTATGCTTTAATTTTATTTAATAAAAACGTGGTTAACTTTGAGCTATTTTAGGTTAAATGTAGCCTTTAGCTCATTTTGAGTTTTCCTTTTTTTATAATCTTTGCCAACTTTAGCTCTGTTTATCATGTTGTACATAGCTTTAGCATTTTTTTTTTTTTGCTACTGTACAGTATATGTAGGTTGACTTGACTTTCAGACTGTTCTCGGCTACATTAGATCTGCTTTTAGCTTATTTTTAGCTTTGACAGACTACCTTCAATTTATCTTTTGGTGAGTATTTTCTGACCATAGTATAGTATTGGCAAACCTTTGCCAACCTTTACTACTTCTTTAAATTCTATAATTTCTTTATGGCATTTTTTTTATTTTCTCTGGGTTTTATACCAAATGGTTTGGACATATTTTATTAACATTGTAAAATTGTTTAAAGCTTAGCTTAGCTTAGCTTTTGCTAATAAATTAGGTGCCTGTGAGCTGTAAATGAATAACACAGCCGACTGTATATTTAACAAGATTGCCTGTGTGATAAATCAGTTCATTTGTATTATAGTCAGGGGTGTGATAAAAGGAGCCGTTAGCTCTCTTCTGTTTGCCCCATTTCTAAACACGCCCCGATATTAAGCAACACTGTATATGTTTTTAGGGGACACAAATTTGGACAGGGATATTGACAGAGTCAACTCCGTTCTCAGAGACTCAGAGACTTTATTGACAGAGTCAACTCCGTTCTCAGACCATCCTGCTGACGTCCAGAAGTCTCAGTGCTGCGTCAATAAAAAGCTGAAGAGGACGAAGGGGGAGGAGGAGGAGACAGGGTAGACTGGTGAGTCTGTGGGTGGGTGGGTGGACGAGTGGGTGTGTGTCCACCATCGTCATGGAGACCCCTGTGTGTGGGAATCAGTCCAAACATGACAGGAGTGAGTGTTCGGACTCAAGGTGACTGCAGCCAGGCCACAGCAGCTCCCAGCAGCGGGGACAATGGACGACCTGCTAGTGCTAATGGGAGACACATGTAACTGGATTAGAGTCAGGACACCTGGGGGGTGGGACCACATGGGGAGACACTACACTTGTCTCATCCATCCCTCCCACCCACCAACCAGCCCCTCACTGTCCTGTCTCACTCCATCAAAGCTGCACAAAAAGCAGGAGTCTGCAGAGGAGGGACCACCGTCTGTCCTCCAGGGTGTTTGTTTGACCCAAGAACACACAATGGTTCTAAAGACACAGAGAATACCAGTCATTTGGGGGACAATTGGACATTTCTGTACTGATTCATTTCTGCAGTTACAAACCACAAACATGAATGGGTTAAACTGCCTCAATATCCCAAGAGTTAGCGGTTTGTTAGTTCGATTTAAGCTAACCTTTATCTGTGTTACCATATCTTTTATATCTAGTTCCTGGATAACTGTTAGCTTTTTACAGTACTTTCTTTCACTTTATTTTTGCTCAAAGGCTGGCTCAATACTTTTTGGCCGATATACAGTATTAAACTAAACTAATTATCTTTCTAAAAAAGAAATTGTTGACTTTTTAATTGTTTAGACTTTAGCTATATATTTTAGTAGACACATTTTTGACTGAACTTGTTAGTGTTTTTTTTCCTTGTTTGGTTTTTAATTTTTTTTTTTTTTTTGGCTACTTTTTAAAATCAATATTTATCGTCTTTTTTGACTTTATCTAGTTTTGACTTCAGCCAAGAGGCAAACTGTTCAGTTATTATTTTAAAGCATTTTGCTATCATTTGTGTATTTGTGATAACTTTATTTCCTCTGGCTGTTTTATTTTATTATAAGTAACAGTCAGTCTACTTGTTGACAATATCTGGGCTGAAACGTATTAACCACATTATAGCACAGTAACTTTCAGTTAGTTTGTACTAGTTTATAGACATTTAACCTTAGGCTTTAAGATTTTGATCATACGTCATTGAAGCTGTTTAGAACCAGACATAACGAACCAAAAAGCTGTAATAGTCGATGTTTCCTTAATTACCTTTTCAAATGTTTCCCTGAAGTTGCGTAACACGACTAATTGAATCGTCTACTAAATCTCTACAGTAGTCCCTCCCCCCGCCCCACACACACACGCACAGACACACAGGAATGTAAATCAAACGGAAATAAATCTAAGAGAGAGGTCAATGAATTTCCATTGCTGGACTGTGAATGTGGCCCCTCCGTGCCTCCCTCTCCGCTCATCCCTCATGCCCACTTTTCCTTCTCCCTCCACCCTCCCCCGCTGCAAATTCCTGCACTGGGCCCAAGACGCCCAGTCAATTAATAAGACATTGTCTCCTCCCCTCGGAGCCCCTGCACAAGAGGCCACCCAGGAGCAAGCGGGGCTTTTCCTCTAAAGCTGCTTCACTGGTGGCCTCAAGGAATGCCAATCGCTTTGGGAACAGGCAGAACACTGCAGGAATGGGACGGAAAGAGGTGAGGAGAAAAGGGAGAGGGGGAGCGACGGGCATGGGAAGCTAAATGAAAGAAAGTGCACCCATCATGCTCCTGTGCCGGGGGCAAGCCAGTCAAAAATTAAAGAGCAACAAAAGGAAATGCATTTCACTCCCAAAGATGGGGGGCAGTTCAGCCTCCTACAGTCTGGACCAAAACCTCGGCCTGGGTCTGCACAGACCTGAGAACACACTGGGTCAACGCGCACCTTCTGTTGACCTCAAGTCAACGTACATCCGTTCCCTGATCCTCGTTTTTTTCCCCCCCCCGTTCTTCACCTCATTAATTAAACCAGTCATAACTCATTTACATAAACCTGCCATCACAGCAGGTCGAGTCCCGGCTGAATCTGGTGGTCTTCATTTCTCATCACTGTTCAGAATCAAGAAGGATCGTCTTATCACTCTAAACTAGTGGCCTCAAACATCCGACCCAGCGGCCACTTCTGGCCCACAAACCCCACGTATACAGCCAGCAACTTTATTTTCAGAATTTAATTTTGCTTATAAGCCTTGCCTATAATTTGTTCATTCATTAAATTGCTTTAGTTGGGGGTTGGGGGATGGGTGGGTCATCATACAGTTGGAGGATTTAAGTCATTACTGTACATCTCGACTGTGGTTTATAGAATTGTCTCCAAAAGACTGGGTCGCGACCCTCAGGTGGGTCGCAAGATTTTTTTTTTTGGTCGTCTCGTATCATGTTTCCCAGGAGTTTACGAATAAAATCTATTGACTTGGGTCGCAAAGGTCTGTGACTTTTAAAATATGGGTCCCCAGAAAAAAAGTTTGGGAAACTACTTTAGGTTTATAGAATAGCTATGTTATAGTTGAGAGTTAGTTTCAAAACTTCAACATTTGTCGTCAACAACATTAATCAGTCTACAGTTCCCATCGTTTGTGCCAACGCTCCGAGGAAGGCTCGTCCTTTCATAGTTCAACAACGTTTACAAAGCAAGGTCTTGGCTTTATGAGTACGGCTGAGAGGAACGGCAAAGCCAGCCGCGACCTTGACCTCCCTGCAGTCACATTCCTGCACATACTCTCCGTGGATGTTTAAATACATTTTTAGTATTCATACAATTCCACTCCCAAGGCTTTTCCTCTGATATTTCATTTACATATGAATGACGTTAGCTTTAACAACACCATAACAGCATCCCATCAGTCAAATAAGCTCGAGGAACAGGAGCTGTAGCCGTGAATATGAAATGATGTTGAGGCTGCTGTCGTTCAGAAACAGTACGAAACAAACCTCAAATACTGACTGGTCTGATGAGTTGGTTATTTTTAATCCAGATTAAATTCACTACATTATAAATTCTCTCTCAATTATGATCATCCCAGGATGATGGCTATTTTTTTAAAGTTTGATGATATTGATTTGGGTTTTTTTTTTTTCTTAAACCAATTATTCGTGTCAAGCAGTTAATCTGATTAGATTAGAGTCTGAAAGTTAAAAAAAATCAATCCTGTATCTGATAATCATCTGATTTCATCATGGTGCTATTTATTTGACACTATTCCTGTAAATCAGTTGTTCTCAAATGGGGGGATGTGTACCCTTGGGGGTCGGAATAAAAACTGTTAAATAAATATAAAAATTATATAAAATAAAACAATTTATTTTTTTATCTAAATTATATTGGTGTTTTTTATTATTATTTCAATCAGATCCTTTTGAATGTCCAAAAAGTGTTCCCTTGGTATTTGACTTATTATATTTATAGCTCAAAACAATTGAAGAAAATTCAAACAAATTTTCCACTTTAGTGACTTTCTTTAAATGTCCTACGTTTCCTACAGAGAGAAAGCTGCCATTTAATGTTTCCAATGTAACCGTCACATCACCAAGAACATTGTAGTTATTTTTGTCCTTTTTTCAACAACTAATTCTCTGCCCTGGTTGGACTGTATTTGGCTGAAAAACATCACATAAACAAGACCCGTGGTCCAAAGTATTTCTCATTAGTTTTTGACATTGAATTTTCTAAATAAAGAAGTTGAATGTCCTTGTTCTAATGTCTCAAACATCAAAATGACCTAAAAACCATCTGGGTCGAAATGGTTGTGCGTCCTTGAAAAACAGTTCTGCTACTGATAAATTTGAATTTAAATAGTAATACATTTTTTTAAGTTTCATTGCTAAGTTTTTATTGAGGGAATTTATCTGAGACCTACTGAAAAAAAGCTGCCTTTTGTCACACTGTCCTGTTGAAGTACTGATCCAGGACCTGTGAAAACTGACGTCACGAAGATCAGCAAACACGGGGGAAAAACAAGTTAAAAACACGGCATGAGTTTACGGTAGGATCCAAACAACATGGAACTTACCTGACCACGTCTTGGGCTTGGAGTCTGTAACAAAGGAAGGGTTTTTACGGGTGTGTGTTTTTTTTGTGCGTGTGTTTCCTATATTAGCCTCTTTTTTAAAAACACAGAGCGAGGGGATCAGAGAGTGCAGGCAGAATATACCTGAGCACACAAACACTACACTGCGTTTAGTAATGGATCTCATGTTAGTGCAGAGAGATTTTCAGGTTTTTACGGGTGTGTGCACACACACACGCACGCGCACACACACACACACACACACTGACCCACAGTCTAATGAGTCCCTTGTGCTGAAGTTCCATATTGAGATGCGAGCTGCAGAATTAGAGCAGGCTGAAAGTGCTCTGTGAGTGCTCCTTCTCTATTGTTGTTGTGCATCGTAGTAAAGTGGGGTGAAACCGCGCTGAGTGAACTGAAAGCCCCGCACCACAAAATGAGTTTTTGTTTTTCTAATACGATACAAGAGGACAACATCCACCCAACGGTGGCCTGTGCACAAGCAGATCCTGCTGACTGAACTGGGATCAAACGTCAAAATGGAGAAGAAAATATACACGTGATTAAACACAGAACTACAAACTACAGAAGGTTCTGTCCACTCGTCACGTGACGCTTCCAACAACTCAGTAGATGTTTGTTGATCTTCCGAGGTCTGGGAATGTGTCTCAAAACGAGTTGTTCCCGCGTCACCTGCTTTATGAAGTAGCTCCGCCCACACTCGTACGTGACTGCTGGTGTCGTCATGTACGACCCAAAAGCTATGCACAGATGTTTATTTGGCAAAGCGCCAAATAAACAACAACAGCTCCAGTATATCGTGTTAACATAACAACAAACTAGCGTTGAAATAACAAACTCAACTCTCTCTCTTAGTGGTAGTATAGTACAATACGCTATTTTAGACAAATTCACCAATACCATTATTATAGTATTATAGTAATTATAGTACGGTGTCCGAAATGGTCCAAAAATATCATAGTATATCAAATAAAACTACAATTGTTACTGTTCAGTTTTTAAACCATTTTCAATTTCTTAGACCCGTTCAAACACAAGTCCTGATACACATACTTGTTGTATTTTAGGCAATACTGCCCTCTAGGGGCCACTTAAGTCAATACAGAAGAAGACCAAAAGAAAACAAACACCAAAATGATCATGATGGCGGCAGTAAAGCTCCCGTAAAATAATCACTTTTACGGAAAAAGGACTTAAAAATTATAGCAGTGTTTTTACTCTACAAGACGTCATCCACTACATGCCAGATGATTAGAGAGATGTTCTTAAAAACAACAGAAAATTATCTCAAAGAGTAAAGCTAAAGGTCAGCTTAGCTAAACATCTTCACAGCTCAGCAGAACTACCCAGATGTTAAAACGGGTTAAACGGCCCAGGTCTATATAAAAATACTAGCAACATAACATATTAAAAAGCCTTCATTTTCAAGAGACATGGAAAGTCCTTCATATCTGGAGTTTTAAATCGTTTTAATTAGTTAGCCAGGAAACATTTTGACCAACAAACGTAGTTATATTTATAGAAAATATTAAAATAACTTCTGATTATTTTCCCGAAGTGACATTTTCAGACCTAAGAACATTTTGCAGAACACCATATTTCTTCAAAATGAGCTAAGGCTGTGGTATTTCAGCACCATGGAGAGTTCCACTTGCTCCTTGAGAAGAAAGTGACATAAACTGAGAGTTACAGGTTAAATAAAGAATAAGAAGAACCACTACAGAAACCTTTCTAGGTCAACAACATGGATCCACTACTGACCCACTGAACTGTAAACTGCCCATGTGATGAATGTGGACACAACAAGAATAAATCTGCAGAGTGAGAGAGAGAAAGACAGAGAGGTACAGAGTTAAGGAGAGAGAGAGAGAGAGACACAGAGAGACACAGAGAGAGAAGGAGAGAGAGAGAGAGAGAGAGAGAGCAGTGTTTTCTCTAGAACAGACTCTTCTGCAGATCATCAGCTCAGATCCTTCCTCCCTCTGGGAAGCTCCATGTGGAACACACTTCCTCTTTCCAAAAAAAAAATGAAGAGGATTAATGAGAAGCCAACTGAGAATGTTTGTTAGACAGAGACCTTGTAGAGAAGCTACTCCAGGAATTCTTTTTTCTGTTAAACAACAAACAGAGCCTGGTTGTGTTTTGCTATTTCTGCTGTGGTTGATTTTATTGGAGTAAATGTACAGTACTGGGAACCATTGAGTGACAAAAGCAACACAAGAGTGAAAACAGATGCATAGTTAAAGCGTGATTATGTGCTGGTTTAAAAATAAATTAGAATAGTAGATTCTGTAACGCAATCGTTACAAGTGTGCTACAAAATATTTCACTAAAACAAACAAACAAACAGAGACAGCGGTTGAAAAAGCATTCTGTTGCATATTTCCATGAAAGTAAAACCTCCTGCACTGAGAGCAGCTACCTTTGAGTTAATGCTTTGGTTCAGACTGAGAGTAAGTTAAAATGGAAGAAGGTAAAGGGAAAGAAAAAGTGTTTTAATAAACACATCAGTCCAACAAACGTGTGTGTTTGTCCAGACTGAGCAGGAGAAAATGCTTCACATACTGTACTGGTCTGAAGGAACTCTTCAGTACAACTAAATACAGTGTTTTAACTACCGCAGCACATAGTAACACATACAGGACTTCAAAAAGAAATGCAGAAACTGTAAAAAAAAAAAAAAAAAAAAACATATGACACTAACTAGCTGGTATTAGGTATAGGTAGGAACAATAGACAATAGTACTGTAAATAAAAAAAACACTGACAATATTATTTATATTATACATTAGTTATTGTTATTCCCAAGATGGAGTTATCCTGTTTTAAAAATGAAACAACAGGTAAATAAACAAAAAGAAACCAATTTTAACCACTGTCACTAAATCTTTTTTTTTTTAGTTAGCTACAAAATATAATAAAAGTTTGCTAAAGTAGCCACACAAAAATTGCTAAAAACACAACTAAAAAGAATTTGCTAAAACTTACTGACAGTTGTGGCTGTTTGATTATCCACAAATGAGGTTACATTTTGCAACATAAAAGTAAAAATGCCAATCACTGCACAAACAAATTTGGTTGAACTCATCTTTGTGTGACCAATAAAAAAAAAAAAGGACTTGTTTTAATACTGGATAATTGTGCAGGTCGTAAATGACTTCAGTTTGAAACCATTGTTCTGACGGGTTTCTAACCATTTATATAATAATAATTTTATTAATGTTTTTATTCTAACACTACTCCGCCCGGTAACAGTAAAAGCTTAAGTTCCTTAAGGGAATGAAGATGAAAAACAAAAAATTCCAGCTGACAAACGCAAGAATAAAAAAGAAAAAAAAAATAGACAGAGGCTGACGTTTTAATTTCCCATCATGCACTGGACATTTAACACTAAACAGACAGATTTGCATTAAGGTCTGAACTGTCACACAGTGCAAAGATATTTCGTTTCAGTCATGCAGTACAAGATGACGAAAGGGCTGAGATATTTTTCAAAGAGAGATTTAAAGGTCATTCCTCACAAAAGTGATGTTTTATAAAGGGTAGAGCTTAGGCGGTGACACGAGGGGCAACTTCTGCACAGTATTGCCACGAAATGTCCTCAAGGATCACCACATTAAAACCTCTGGTTCTCCACCTGGTATGATTTTTGGCACATAAATCTCCTCTTGTACTGATTTCACTCTTCCTCAATGAACTCGCATCGTTCTGCTCCAACATGGACTTGACATTTGATAAGTTCACAATCAAAAAAACAAAACGCTAACTCTCTGCCAGGCTGAAGGCCTTAAATATACCTCATATAAAAATGTATTGAGCTTTTTTTTTCTTGTAAACAACAGTTGTGAGAGAAGTCCTAGAAGTAGACAGGAAATACTTAATGGTTTTCTCATTAGCACCAGTGAACTTTGGTTACTGGTTTCAATGGTTTTTAATCTGTTCACTGGAACGAGACGCCACTTTGCACTGGTATCGCCTGCAACCAGGCCCTCACTGGACAGTCCAGCTGTCAATCACCACAGCGAGCACTAGGACTATGACTGTTTTATGACTTGTGCACCTAGCTTAAAAAAAATCCAAGATGTAGCTGAGCCTTAACAAAGTTAGTTACAAGTTCACAGAAAAGATTGCAAAAAGTCAAAGTAGCCAAGACTAGTCACAATATATAGATATAAAGGATTGCTTACAATCAAATAAATGTGTATTTAAATTAGCTACAGTATCTTTAGAGGTTAACTTAAATTAGCATTAGCTAAAAAATGTTAACTAAATCTACCCTTTGGTAGATAGAACTACTGTCTAGCTCTCTAACATTGACACATTTACAGCAAAGGCTTTAAATCTGCACTGAACTCTCAGTCAGTCGGTCGTTCGATCGATCGATCAGTCGGTCGGTCGGTCAGTCATTTCCCTGTGGTAAAAATCAAGAAAATATTCAAAGGCAAATTAATTTTCCTCACGATGTGGTATCAATACAACAATAGACCAATAGAACTAGTTAAACTAAGCTATGTTAGTCATGACTTAGTTATACAGAACTAAAGGTTAGCAAAACACAGTTAAATAAAAGCCATAAGATGGTAAAAGAATTTACCAAAATCTAAGCGAAAACAAACTGCAAGTTGAGACCAAAAAAAATCAACCAACTTAGAGAAACTCAAAAAAGAGTTAAAAACCTAACCCTAACCCTAGACAGGGAGATAATGAACTTCTTTAATGAAAAAGAATCAATTGATTAGTGACTTAATTTTTTAAGTATTTCCTCACAAGTATCTACTTCTAGGCTTCGATAACTACTGTACATCCATTTTTTTGTGGCCGAGACCTGATGGTCCATTAGCAGATGCAGAGAGTTCTGAAATGGCCCCACTCCCACAGCAGACGCAGTAACAAACCTAAATATAGCTCCTCTGTTTGGGTCACATCCCATCAGGCAGCAGAATTCCCCACACAACAATAAAACTCCACATGTGACTGAACATGAACTCTGGTTTTAGAAAACTGGACGCATCTGTGAGTGAAACCCAAAACGTCCGACTCTGGTTGTGGCTGGTCAACCAGTTAAAAACAGAGGTTGAGGGTTTGAATCTCATCTTATCTTCAAAAGTGTGACAATCGGACTACAAAGAGACAAAAACAAATTCTGACGACATGAAAACGGTCTTTCAGGCTGATAATACCTCACAAACACACACACACACACACAAACATAAAATGTTCTCTTCTTTCCCCACAACCTCACTCTCCGTGTCCAATAAAGTATTTCTTTTCAGATCCATCTGAAGCATAAATAAGTTAATAATATAGCTTATCGTTATTATCAATATTATAATAATAAATAACTCTGTCTGTAAAATGTACATATAAAACCCTGCTTTATTTTGCAGAGCTGTTCTCCAGAGTCAGCGGACTCTTGTTGCTGCAGAACATCGCATTCCTTTTACTGCTCTAAACTGACACAACAATAAATAAACACGAAGCATCCGTGATGTAAACACTACGACTTTCCCTTTAAAAAACTGCAGGGGCGTGGACAAAGACAAAGACGGCTGTGATTTTAGCAGGAGACTGAAGGTGTCGCTCAAATTTCTGTCCTGCATCTGAACGTGCGGCAGTATTGCAGCCCTTGTTTTTTTCATTTAGGACATCAATGAAGACATCTTCTAGGTCCAGTCTCCGGTCGACCAGGAAGAAGACACGGTCAAAGTCTATTGCTAGTAATGACTGATTGGTTGATATTGAGGTTCTATTTCTGACTGCTGCCCCCTGCTGCCTGCTTTTCTTCTTTTTTTTTTTCTAGAGAGACGTGCAAATGCCCATGCAATCGAGGCAGGGATGACAAAAAGAGATCTGTCTTCAAACGCTCTTAGAAAACTGTCCTAAATCCTCACCTCGACCTCACCTTGTCCTGACTTCTTCACTCACTGTCCCTCTGTGAAGCTAAAGGCCGGTGGAGCCGGTTGGTTTTCAATGTCTGATGTCACAGCGAGGGGCGTATTGCCGGGCGTGGTGAGGGGGGTGTTGTTGGAGGGCTGCAGGTTGGCATCACCCTCAGTGGAGGTTTTCTCCTGCGACTGGGAGGAGGAGGAAGAAGAGTGGGTGCTCTCGCTGGAGCTGCTGCGGGTGTCGGTGCTGGTGCTCGTCTTCTTCATCTTCCGCCTCTTGGCGAGCGGCGCCTTGTCCACTGTCTGAAGGCGGAAACCTTCACGCTTACATTTGTTAAACGCCTGGAAAAGACAAAAAGGGGACAGTCAACCAACGGTTAATAACAGTAAATGGTAGTTAAGGTTTATGTTTGCGAAATAAGGGACAGCAACCTTAAAGTGGCTGTGACTTCACCACTGTCTTGCTGTTCTTTTACACATCCTGCACCGACATATAGCACTTTTCCACCTCTACTACTTTCTTATATATTAAAATAGTCCCAAAGTCCCAGAAACATTTTATGAATTTAAAATGTGCAAGCTTGATCATCATATCTTTGTCAACTTGTGTTTAGTTTGATCAGGTGTCTCAAGATTGAAAACTTTGAATTTAGAGAAAACCATAATTATAACCAAGTTGATTGCAAAACAATTATTGCAGCTCTGCTTCTTTTTTTTTTTTTGCCAAAACTGCAACTTAAAATTTAAAAGGAATTCAGAGGCAAATAAGCAAGTTTTGACCTGGTATAATTAAAATATCACGGTTATGGATATAAATTGCGAACGTTTTGACTTTTACTTGTAGTAGAGTACTTTATTCCTTTGCTTCTTGTCACAGGCCAGATGCAGAGCCATGTCTGTAATGTCTGTCCTTACATTAAATGTAGCTTTGACACAAGTGTGGACAGAGGCGGTGGAGAAGCCCAGGATGTCCGGGGTCATTAGTGGGTTTGAGGACAGCTGGCTGTCGTCCTGGATCCAGGAATTGTAGCGCAGACCACACATTTTAATCCTCTTGTTTGGGTCCACCGTCAGCAGCTCTGCAGGGACGAGGCACGGATAATTACATTAAGTTTGGAGCTTTTAATAGGCTGGATGCTGGACAACAGAGAGGAAGTGACTTTCCTTGTTCAGGTCGTTCAAGCTCTGGCTGTTGAGCTGAGCTACTTTGTTGGTGGAACGTTTAATCTGTGATCTAATGTGAACAGATGGTGGGATTATGGACAGTTCTACTGAAAGACGACTCATTTCAGCTATATGTAAAAACTGGACCCGTTTATTTTTCATGATAATGGGATAAAAATCACCCATTTTATGACGTGATTATAACTCTGTATTGATGGTTTCATGTTGACAAAACATAAAACACTTGTTTCTGTCAATGGCTTATGTATTTATACATACATACATACATACATCTAAACATATCTTTCGGTGCCAAGCAAACACGGTCCCTTACCTTGTATTAGGTCCTTGGCCTGCTGGGACACGTTCCTCCAGGCCTCTCCTTCAAATGAAAAGTCTCCCTGTTTGATTTTCTTCATGATTTCCTCAGCGCTGGTGTGAGTCAGACTCTTCCCCTGACACTGGAAGGGCACCTGACCAGACAGCATGGTGTACTGCACACACAGCACAAATAAAATCAAAAAACCACAAGGAAACGCTTGTTTCCAGTCTTTGACATCAGTAGCGTAGATCTAATCTAGGCGGTTTGTGCATTCAGGATGTGAAAAAAAGAAAAAACTAGCTAATTATAAAATTCACTGAAATGCATGTAACAGGAAATCTGGTTTTGCCATGCTGAACAAACACTAAATTTCCACTTTTTATGTGCCCACAGATTCCTCATTAAAGGGACTTGTGTTTGGGAAAAGCCCTTTTGGCAACAGATGATCAGCTGGAATCTGATCACTCTTTTTCCAGGGAATCGTGCACCAAGCTTGTCAGCAGCTATTTCATCCGTGTTCTATGAGGCACTAAAACGCACACATGCACACCCAAAGGTGGGGTCTGGGGGAGTCTGAGATCAGTACGGAAGAATAACCAACTACGTGAAGCCTCTTCTTATGTCTCGTCCTTTTCTGTGTTATCTCGTTTTAAACTTCCTTCTCTTCTCAGAAAAAACCTGAATCAGAATGACAACTTTACCAAACGTTGCGTGTTTTTCATGCAAATGTGGTCAGAGCTGGTTTTAACAGGATGTTCTTTTGGGATTTTTTTTTTAACTCTGTAGGTGATGTTAAAAGGTGTCAGCTCACCCTAGGGTCCTCTGTGCTGAACAGATAACAAATGTACATCATGCACAAATTCCATAAGTAACAAGTTTGGTTTAAAACTGTGCGGTCATTATTTGCCTTAGTGAAAATTGAAATATTCTAAAGCTAATTTTATTTATTGCTAACCTTTACTAAACCCTAAATTACAACTAAAGCTACATTTAGCATTTTTTTACTATTAAAATTATCTCTATGTCTAACAAAACTTTTTTCCTAACTACCCAATTTTAACCTAATTAAACATTTTTGCTTCATTTTTTCACTTATTAATTATTTATGGATTTCACAATTTCTCTCTCAATATTCATTAACAGGATTAAATACAGATTTTTTTATGATGTTTTGTTGTTCTGGTTCAGATAGAACAGCCTAACATTCTGGTCACTCACCAAAATGACCCCAAGACTCCAGAGGTCACAAGACTCATCATAGCCGTCGTATTTGAGTATCTCTGGTGCAGCGTACTGCAGTGTGAAGCAGGGAGTCTTCAGGAGCTGATTGTCTGGTGGTTTGAGTCGAGCAAAGCCGAAGTCTATGATTTTTATCTCTGAGTTTTCACTCTCAGCTGTGAAGAGCAGATTCTGTGAAACAATTTCAGAAAAAAAAACATTCAGTGATAATTTCTCTAAGCCTCTAAAAGAGCTCACTGAATTGAAAACCAAAACTAATATAACTACATAAAACAGTGCAGGGGTCAAAACACTTGAGGGTAATCATACAACAAACCAAAGATGCTAGCTGTTGTGTTTAAAGAAAACTCAGAAAATGAATTAAAGATAACTTGAAGAATAAACTGTAGCCTGTCCTCAGGTAGAGGTGAAACCTCTGGTGTGTGATTTTTAAAAATGTTAATTTTTTTGGTTTCGTAAAAAATCCAGCAGTGTGGATGTAGCCTCCTGTACTTCATTGACTTAGTACCAAGTTGAAGGTGCGTCCAGTACCTCTGGTTTAAGGTCCCTGTGCACCACTCCTACATCGTGCATGTGACTGACCGCCGACACCAGTTTGCGCATGATGCGGCTGGCCTCTGTCTCACTGAAGTGCTGCTTTCGGCGTATCCGTTCCAGAAGTTCTCCTCCACCGAGGAGCTCCAGGACCAGATAGGTGTGGAGCTGCAGTAAACAAACACACACAGCAAACAGTATTTACATTTTTTTGTCCAAATGCTGTCACACCCTGGGTCCTGGCCTGAGACTTTGACCTGCTCTGAAGCAGCAACAACAGAAGTGCAAATATATCTTTGGTACTTGCAGTTGTATCAATATTGACAAATTGGCTTAAAGTTATACATCATCCATCTCTACAGACTTGTGTGTAACTGCTGTAATTTTCTAATTATTTTCATTTGTGGAGTTGCCAAGGCAAACGGCTTAACACTGAGCCTGGATCTGGTAGAGAGTTCCTTTTGTTAAGAGTTCTTTTTTCTTCACACTGTTGAATAAAACATTTACTCAGCGTGATATCTCAATTAATTTTCACTTGTATTTCATATTTCAATCAATTTTCAATATTATTTAATCATGAATAATAATTAATAATCCACAGCCCTATTTCTATTCTTCTTCTTACAGATCCACAACTTTAAAACCCAACGTTAGAGCAAAACATTTTGAAAGAGAGTAAAATTGCAAAGAGTTAAAGACAGTGGGAAAAGACAGAGTGTCTCACACCAGCAGGGAAGAGCTTCTCATTATCGCAGGGTCAAAGGAACAAAGACAGGACTGTGGTTGAGGCAGAGCGCTGCTTTGATCTGGGTCACAGGCCTCAGAGATACAGCAATAACCCACTGAGCTCATCAGAACTAAAGTGGTGCTTGTGCGACTGAAGGGCTGAGGCTAATGAACCTGCGCACAGTCAGACACCCAGACACACCTCCACCATAACAGACGCTGAGCTGCATTTGGAACACGTGCACACTCAGTTAGGGTCAAGTGTGCGACTGGATTGGCGCCACACCAGAAAAGAAAAAAAAGAAGGTTGTTTTGATCAATAGGTGTTTGTGCAGCTGCAGTTTAAAAATACACGCCAAGGTGAACTATTGAGAGCATGCAGATGTGTTTGTGGGATGATGCAAAAAAAAAAAAAAAAAACACATGGTGAAACCTCCAGGGCTTCTAGTGTCACACATTAATCTGCCCTGTCCCACTTCCAGGACTTATTAAGGTTCTGTTTCCTCACAGGCTCCTCAGGAAGTCAGGATGAACTGTGTTATGAACCTCACCTGGTCGTGATAAATTTCGTGCAGCTTGACAATGTTGGGGTGACCATCGCAGAGCTTCAGAGCTGCTAATTCCCTCTGCGTCTGTGGTTCCATTCTACAGGAAGGGAAAGATTAAAAACTGTCAATAAATGCCACAATAACAGTGAGACCAGTGACACTGTAGGTTTATTTTATTTTGCCTTTATTTTTTTCTCTAGCGATGACAAATGTTGATCCCACTGTTCCAGTTTTAGTAACCTGATGTAAACCATGAAATAACATTGTGTTTACTATGCTGACTGTTCTCCTACATTTAAACTGCGTAGAACAACTCAGCATATCATCGAGCCTATAGTATCGCCATATATCGCACTATATCATGTCACAAAACCCTGTATCGTGCTACGTATCGTATCGTCATATTCCTGCCAATACACAGCCCCACCTTACACACAGAACACAGTGAATATTGGTTTGCTCTGACCTCCTGCTGACTATTTTGACAGCGTACTGCTGTCCAGTCTTCTTGTGCGTGCAGCGTCTGCAGATGGAGAAGCTTCCTTCTCCCAGAGCATTGTCTTTCAGGTCCATCTCATAACTCAGGTAGAAGGGTGAGTCCTGTTCAGAGAAAAAAGAAAAATGTAACTAACATTAAAAAGTGATCTTGCATCTTTGAGACTACTTGTCATTTTTCTTTCCTTCATACTCCTGCTTGTTTGACCTTTGGACCTCAGCTCTCAGGATATCTTTTTCAGTCTATCTGGAAAAAAATATTTAAAGTGTAACGATGATGGCTCATTGGTACTTAACCTGTTGGTTACATTGGTTACTGGTCTCCAGCCAAACTGATTTGGGCATAAATGACATAGTTATCTTATATATCCTACATTTTTTACAACCTTGTTCTTGTGCATCAGTGAGAGGCAAATTGTCAAATTACAACCTTGTTCTTGTGCATCAGTGACAGGGCAAATCGTCAATCACATTTTATATGATTAATCACAGACTGCCTGTGGATTACCAATTAATCATGATTAATCCAGCGAATACAACTAAATAGACAAAATATGACAAAACAAAAGTTGTTTCTGTTTATTCCTGATGAGGAAGACTAACAGCAGGTAGATGTCTGTGTTTCAACTGTTTTTACTTGTGAATAATCGAAATGGTGGACTTATTAATGTAGAAAATTAAATTGGATAGATATATAGTATATATATGCAAGGACTTATTAATGTAGAAAATTAAATTGAATAGATATATAGTATATATATGCATATATGTACATATATCCACACACGCAGTAATGTGCAACACACACATCAAAAGCAACAGAGTGAACTTCCTTTGTTTTGTTAAAAATACATTTCGCTGAGAAAGAGGAAGCGACCTGGAAATAACAGAAGTACAGATGTGTCACTCATTTCTCAGAACATTTTGCATGCTGATGTTTAATCCATACTGTGCTGGATGTTAATGTTTTAAAAGGTTTTAAAATTAAACCACTACATATAATAAACCCCTGCGTTTGACATATAATATATAAAGAATTACACCACAGAAAAGACGGAGGAGACGTAAGAGACACAAAACACTTTCAACAAAGTTCCTGTTTGCAACAGATGATGAGGAACAGTCTGTGGCAAAAGTTTCACAGGTAGAGGAATCAAACCACATCACTGAACCTTTCATTCGTTTTAGAATTACAGCCAAATGGTTATTCAATTTCAGGCATGTTTAAGCTAGCAATGTAGTAGTGTAGGTAGGACACCAGAGAACAAAATACAACTTTGTTACATCCAGGTTTGTTCATGTTGTATGTATGATTAACTAAAGTTGCACAGCCTTCCCTGTGTTGTTACAGATGCCAACCTACATAATACAAACTCTTTTGTATTAGGCTCCTGTTCATTGCGTGCAGTGCTAAGCACTAGGGCGGTACATGATAGCAGTGTGGCAGTCACACAAGAGTGAAGCAAATGGTAGATTCATGCACAGCTTGGAGTGGGAGAGTGGGTGGAGACACCAAGTGCAGGGAGGGTTATTTTAATCAATTTGAATGGTTGTTTTGAAGCAAATTTCCAATTTATATATCTACTTATTTGATGAAACCAGCAGTTGATGAGTAGGTAGACACTCCAGAGACACAAATCTGTCTTCAAAACCCTGCAAAAATATATATTTTGCATAATATGTCCAAATCACATCTACATTACTGTTGCATCTCCTACCAGCATCACACAGCAGTGGATTTATTAACACGGTTTAAAAACCAACAAAGGTGAAAGTGCAGTTCAACAAACAGGACAGATACAAATTCTAATGGAATGGAGAGGAAGTGGGGAGTAAAAGAAAGACTCATTTTCTCTGACAGCAGCCATTAGCCTAAGTGTGTTTGTGCAGGAGGATCTCACTCTATTTATCTTACTTTCATCATGGCGCTGCGGGCCACCGCGGCACAACCCGGCCTCTCCGAGCCCCCACACAGCTGGACAGGGTCGTCCATCACCACGTTCCTCTTAAATAGGATGGAGGGGGCCATGAAGGAGTAGCCCTGCACGGAGAAAAACACAAATTGTCCATCTTTACTTGTCAAAAGTACAGAGAAGTCACATTAAAAAACATTTTAAAAAAACGACAATATATCACAAAACAGGTGGTCGGAGCTCTGCTATGACCTGCTGCTGCCGGAAAGGCTGAGAATTACTTGGTATTATATTCAAGTTATTGAGAATTACTTGGTATTATATTCAAGTATATTCAGTCTATGACTGGACGGATGTGGAAAAAGTTCAGAAAACACTTCAGTAAAGTACTTTGAAATGTCCTGGATCACTCTTCAAATCTTGGGCCTTTTCTTCTTCACATGTTTCTGTACCCACCCAGGCTGTCAGCTTGACAATGAGTCCTATTCAGATGATTTATGAGTGACAGTGTCCGTCCAGCTGTTCCTATTGTTAGACCTGTCATTGTGAAGCATCGCCTGCATAATTCCAGCTGTGAGGAGCCCAGCGCTTTGAGCTGGCAAAATAGCTTATTTCCCTTCTTCCACTGACACACACACACACACACACACAGCTGTGTGGTGTGTAACGACAGCCCACGGATGGACGGAAGGATGGATGTTGAATGAATGAGATGCCCCTTAAATTGCCAGGCTTGAATATTTGATTGCTCTGCAGTGAAATCACATCTTGGCACTCTTAATGCAATTTTAATTTTGTTTTGTGAGGCACAGTGGGGGAACAAGTGCACGTTTTTTTTTAAATTGGGCTTGCTCCTCTTTATCGTAGAGATTGCTGGGCTTGCAAATTATAAAGACTGCAAAGTCTCAGACGATGCGAATGGCAGCTGAGAGCGAAAGAAGCCAAGATGAAGTTGGCAATCAAAAAGCGAAGGCGTAACCCGAGACAGACGTGGCGATGCTCTCAAAGTGTAACCTTTTATTCTGCCAGAAAAGCCTGTTAATTGATCTATTGATCTCCAGCGCTCAAGGATCCAGAAGGCAATCAAGAGTCGAATTTTCGTGCAATACATCAGACAACCATCAGCTGGCAACGGCGTCGCGGGGCCACATTACAGTTCAAAGCAGCATCAAAAATAGTCATTCACATCTGTTACTTCAATGAGTGCCGCATATGGCAGCAATTATGGCAATAAAGGGCTCCTTTAGTCAATTTGAATACCAATGCACACAGACAGACTCATGTTGACTTACAGCAACCTATTGAGGACATTCACAACTTCACTTGATTACTTTATTAGCTGTCGAGGGTGTCGAACATAGTCACTGACAAAAAAGTGGATAATGCATAATGCCATTCTACAAACGTGTCAACATTTCACTCTGAGTTTACCAAAGCCCAGAAAAACATTGCCACAAAACAGAGGAAATGGATTTGTTGTCCTGAGAAGTGACCAACAATAAACATGGAGAATTGTTTTCTGTCTTTGTTTGTTTCATTGTTTTACTGGTTAAAGTATATGAGTAAAATTAACAGCTAAAAAGAAAGAATATTTGGTCCAACAATAACCAAACTGTCTTTCGCATTTTAAGTGGTTTTTCTTGTTGCAAAACAGTCTTAAATTCACCTGTTATTTTGTATAAATATTTATGTATTTTTATAGTTATATTAAAAGGGGGGAGAAAGAGAGATGGTAAAAAAGAAAAATGTTAGAATAAAAACATTATTTCCTCCGCTGAAGCTAAATAACCTAGAAAGAGAGATGGTAAAAAAGAAAAATCTTAGAATAAAAACATTATTTCCTCTGCTGAAGCTAAATAACCTGTACCCACTCATCTCTCACAGTGCTTTCCTACTCACTCAGAAATAATCAGAGGGTTTAAAGGGGCCTCTTATAGTTAAACAATAACAACATGTGGTCACAAAAGGACACAAGTCTGGCTTTTGAGAACCATTTGTTCTCCGTTCACCTGGAAGATGCGATCACAGTTCTGAGGAAGAGCAGCTGGGGAATAAGTAGGATCCATCTCCGTGAACTCGTCTGCAAAGTTGCTGACGTCCAGCTCATCCCGGATCACTGGTTTGAAGGGAGCAGGCACCTTCTTAGCTGCCAACTCGTCCCAGTTAATTTTCTAAAGCAAGTTTAAAAGGGAGCAGGCAGAAAAAAACTGTTAAATAGTCAGTTGACTAAAATAGTCAGTTTAAAAGGGAGCAGGCAGAAAAAAACTGTTAAATAGTCAGTTGACTAAAATAGTCAGTTTCCTAAATGCTCAACCCCCGGCCCCAGGTCTCCCCACCATTTGTTTAGCTTTTCTAAACACAGAGAAAAAACATATCAGAGCTAGACAATGATATCCACCTGGTAAAACGGATGTTTCTTCACGTTCTCTGCTCCATTAGGACCGGAGCCTAATCTCTTCTTTGGATCTTTGATGAGGAGTCGCTGAATGAGGTTTTTGGCCAGTGGTCCCATATCTTTAGGAAAAGGAGGATCCTTCTTTGAAATTCTCCTGTAATGGGGAAAACAGATCAGTGCTGCTCAGTGGTTACAAGTCAGGGCTGGGGAACTGTGTTGGCCGACGATGACAGGAGAGATTACAATGCATACTTGGCAATATCTGTGTGATTGTTCTCATCTCCATCAACTGTGAAGGGAGATCCTCCAGTCAACAGCTCATACATCAGTACACCCAGGCTCCACCAGTCCACCGCCTGGAATACATGAAAGTCATAAAAAAGAGAGTAAAAAAACAAGGAGAGAGACAAGACCGCTAGGTTGCTTTTAAACACACAGCACTATAGAATAAACATAGATATACAAATGACCTTGTCGTGTCCGGACTCTCCTCCCTCCACAATCTCTGGAGCCATATATTCAATAGTGCCGCAGACAGAGAACGCCCTTTCTACCTGTTTATAACCAACACACAGACACATGAACAACAGTTTATACAAAGGCAAAAGGATTAAAGTGCTGTCTAAACAAGACACCTGACGACACTTCTGCTAAACAGTGGAGGCACGTTCGCTCTGAGAGGGGGACTAAAAAATAAATCCATACTCTCTTTTCACAAAACAATCTGTGTTCAAAATAACTTATCTTTATTCAGCTGCATCTTTATCTCTCAAAAACAGATGACTCTATCTTGTCTCTTTTCTTTTGTTCTGATTCGCTTCCACATCTGTGATTTAGCCACAACGGTTTTAAATGCAAGGCAACACTGTCAAGTAGCTTGAGGTGTTAAATGTCCATACAGTAAAGTTGTGGGGCTGTGGACAGAATAACTTTTTCATAGAACAGTAAAAGCACCTAAGGTTAGGGTAAAAGACTTAAGGACACCAGCGTACTCATTGGGTGAGACCGTGGTGTGGTGCATTGTGCATAAATTAATCTTTGTGTACAGGCTGGATCTGAAATACTCACTGACTCACTCTTTAACTTTATCTCCAAACTGTTTCTCTGATATTTCCATTATTCAACAGTACACTTTTAAAATGTACACATCAAAACACCATTGAAGAAAACAGTGCAAAATAACAAAAATTACAAATTCAATGTGTTTAAAAAAATAATCAGACTGACTCAGATTTAGTGTACCTGATCAAACTCCTTACTCAGGCCAAAATCTGTGAGAACTATATGTCCGTTTGAATCCAGTAGAATGTTTTCAAGTTTCAGGTCCCGATAGACAATTCCAAGCTGCACCAGGAAAAAGACAAAAAGGTTATGATGGGGTTTTTTTTAGTTAATGAAGAGCAATACACAAATTATGAAAAAATACTGAGTAAATAGACATGTTACCTTGTGCAAATGCTCAAGTGCTAGTACGATCTCTCCACTGTAAAGGGCCACTTCCTGCTCCTTAAATCGGACCCTCTGCACTAAATGTGTGAAAAGCTCCCCACCATTCACATAATCTGTAACAAATAAAATTAAGTTTCTTAATATCATTTAAATTTAGGTGGTTGTAGTTTTTTCAAATAAAAAGACAACTCAGAATGTGAAAATAATGATCCTGACCAAGAATAAGGTGCAGCTTTGTGTCCGTCTGAAAGGCGTAGTGAAGGGTGACGAGAAAAGGCGACTGACGGATGTGCTCTAGCACTTGCCGCTCTGTGCGCGTGTGTTCAGCAGTCTTTGCCTTTTGTACAATGGTGGCCTTCTTTAAGACTTTCATGGCATACAGTTTCCCCGCATCGTGACCACTCACTTTACGGACAAGGAACACTTTGCCATAGGCTGGGGGAGAAAGATCACTGACATGGAGCTCATTCCCATTACATAAACATATGTGTGGGCCATACTGACAAGCCTATTATTATGTTAACATCATGTGGTCACAGAGAGACAGCCTTACTCACCTCCTGTGCCCAAGACCTTTAGCAGCTCAAAATTTTCAATGCCCACCCTCTCCACGTGACCGGTTAGATTTGCTGTAATCAAGGATCCAAAAAAGAAATTTAAATTCAGGTTCAGATATATATACACACAAATATATATATATATACACACACACACACACACACATAGAGTATATACATCCTGGTGAATAAACTATGAAGGGACAGAATAAATAAAGTTATAAAAACACATACAAATATAAAACATAAAATATATATAAATTACTAAAATCCTAGAAATTTTAAAGATATGTACTTCCCATAAACAACACTATAAACTTCCTGGTTGTTCTGTAACCCCTGTTCTACATACCGCACTTATGATACCAATTTATCTCCTGTTTATCTGGGACAAAGGGAAATTAAATATTGTTATTTTTCACAAAACTGACTGCATTTTCTTAATGAAAAAGTGGAAAAGGGATAATTTCCTGCTAGAACACCTTAAAATCATCAATTAAGATTTTATAAAAACAGCTTTTAGTAAATGTTATAGAACATGAAACTTGTAAGACAACTTAGACAAAGTCCTGACTGTCATAATTTACACTGACTTAGAGGCCAACATTACAGTGACAACAATCATTCTAACTGCCTACAGTAGGTGCTACTAAACTGAGTAATTTATACATGCATATGCATATTCAAAATATTGTTTCTCTAATTTACTGCAAACAAAAGACAAGTAAGTGAAATGCTGCAGAGCTAGAATAGCTAGAATAGCTTGAAAGTAAAATCTCTAAACTGGAGAAACAGCACTGCAGCAGAAGGGCAGTCTGGAACAACAGCAGAACACTGTATATTCTGCATGAATGCATTTGTTAAAATGTAAGTGATGAAGATGAGCACGACCGATAGACTTTCTTCGTATAAGCAATGACTCTAATGACTCTTGCTTTGTGCTAAATCGTATAAGCAATGACTCTAATGACTCTTTTTGCTTTGTGCTAAAGAACAGATGTATTCTTTACATCTTCACATGCATCTACAAGCACACATGCTGCATTAACTGGCAAAAGGTCATTATCCTCCACTGCTATGTCTTTGTAAATCAACGTTTCTAAGCACAGCTGACTGAGTAAAGCTTGCTTTCGGACATGCAGGTTCATTGTAGTGAATACATTCCTTCTGTCTCACACGCTGTAAATAGGCCGCTGAGCAATTTGGGTGCCTTGTTTCATCGTTACACATCTCTCCTGTTACACACGAGAGGAAATGCTGCAGCTCCAGTGGAGTCCAGGAAAAAAACTGGAGCACTCTGGCTCTGCTGATATTTAATGGGTCAGAATATCAAGGGTTTAACGTTTAAATCGACGTTTATTGGGTTTTACACTGAACTGTGCTGCTAGACCGCTACACAGAATAGAGAGCCCTTTAGTATTCAAGAGAAAATGGCTCATATTAAATTGCAAATGCAGAAACACAATCAGCATACTGTTGCAAGGCATCATGACAATGTCCTTTATTTGTGCATTTATATTTTTTATTATCTTAGTGTGTGCATATTTTCAAGGCCCCGTGAAAAAACCCTCTTTATATCTAGTGGTATGATTAGGAGAGACAGTTCTAATATGTAAAATATTATTGCATTAACAAGACAAACAAAAGCATACAAAGGCAGGAACGGCCTTGTGTGCTTATCATTCTATTTTACCTGATCATCCCCACTACAGTAAATGCAACAAAACATAAATGTGCTGGTTTTCAAATTGAAAAAATACTGCTTTTGATAACTAGACCAACTGCATTTTCCTCTAATTTTTTTAGGCTGGGCAGTGAATGATGGTGGGAGTGTAGGCTAGTCATGTTGTTGCTTGAACAGCAGCAGCACTGTGTCATTATGAACCAGTTACAACTAAGGCACTCAACTTCATTCAGAAGCCCTCTGCAATAGATGAGAAGACACGGCTCTCAACTTCAAACATCCTATCACATCCTATTTGGTAATGGTTTCTTGTTAAGATATGCTCTAACATAGATAGATAGATAAATAGATAGATAGATAAAACTTTATTAATCCCTTGGGAGTTCCCTTTGGGAATATAAGGCTGGTAATGTGCAGTGACACTTTTTTGCCATTTAATAAACTACTACTGAGATTCAATTCATTGTCACATTTTTTAAAAAAACAAAAAACAAATGTGGTTTCTTCTTAACCATAACTGACTATAATTATTATTATTATTATTTCCTACATTAGGGGAATTTTGCTGAATTATAATCTCTGGAAATAATATCAACATTATTTTGAAATTGGTTCTTTTGGTCTAATGAACAATCCATCACCGATCATGTTGCATTACACTTGTAATCAATACTCATAGCATTCTTAGCATGAGCGAAACATGGTCTTATGTCTTTCTCCATTAACTTAGCTACAACCTAATATTTCACATTTCCTATCACATTTCCTATGCAACTTTTATTTTCCTTCGAGTTGCATTACTGTCCCAATGGTAAACATCTAACCACTTGCAAGGACAAAATGGACAAGACAAAGACACAAAGAGGGCAGAAAATCCTCCAGAACAGTGTACCTACTATATACACTACTAGTCCCCTGGAGTATTTTTGTCAATCCCTCTATATAGTACCTTTTATGGACACCTGTGTAGAAAACCATGCAATTGCGTCCTTCTGTAAATATGACAGCAATGTGGCCGTAAGCACACGTTAGCTGTAGCAGATAACTGAACCATTACAGTTACCAAAACATAATATAACTTAAAAACTAATTAAAACGTTGACTTAGATCTGCCCACAATAAAAATGTTTCAGTGAAGTCAGTTCCACCTTAAACGGTGGTTGAATGCTAATGTTATCATCTGCATTAAGCCTAATTAGGTGACTGTGAGCTAATGCCCAGAGAAAGGTTAGATAACAGTAGTTTGCGTGAGTTTAGCGCTTACGTTACAAGTGAATGAATTAGCAGACGGCTAACGTTAGCCTTCCTCTGCCATTTTTGGACTTAGGGAAACCTTGATGTTAGCGCCCAATACAAACGCCCATTCACTGTCAGACTGCTGATGGGAGCTAACCAGCTAGCGTTTCTCTCTGCTCTGACGCGTGTGTTTACAACATAAAGGTGAATAATAGGGAGAAGATGTGTGTCCCGTCAACATAACACAACCGACTTACCGTGTCTGAGCTCATGTTTCACAGTAAACAGGTCACATTCTCTGGAAGACCCCTCCATCGGGGATGGCATCGTAAAATCCGTGCTTCACGGATGCCTTTCAACGCAAGGTCTCGCGTCCAGACTGCAAACTAGTTTTTAGTTTCAACATATGGAAAATAAAACATACAGGAAGGCAACATAACGCCCGAGAATTTAGCGCCAAAGTTGGTAGTGGTATGGGCGGAGTGTTGTTGTCAACGCTGACACAGTCTAAATAGCGTACACTACAGTACAGAGGGAACACTTGCTTCTGAACACTGACACTTCCACTCACTACCTTCGCAACCAGACAGTCCCTCTGCGTTGATTGGTCTTCCTACATGAAGAGCTGGTCCTTCATTGGAGTTCTCTGTTGCGACGTCACGCAGTCCCGCCCTCTTGAAAGAGACTTGTATTGCCTTCGATTGTGCCTCGTACATCTTGTCAAAAGTCAAAAAACATCTATTGAAATAAAAATAAAAACATTTAGATTGGATGGTGATCACTGAGTTCCAAGAATATCCCTGGTTTAAATGTGTTTTCTTGTTAGTAAAACACAAACCAACCTTAAAGTTATTTATTACTTGGTTTTATGTTATCGTCCTTAGGTATCTTTTAACTTGTTTCCCATTTTTTATTTTAACTTTTTTTATTATTATTTTTACCATTCTTCGAAGTATTCTGAGTCCATCAATAAATGTAATCTGTTTGAATTAAATGCAAATCAGGGTGATGGCAATGGAATAATTTAAGTATAATCATACAGATTATAATTAAAATTATAAAAAAAATGACCCGGATAGTTGAAATATGGAAGCGTGTTGCTGCCACACTGAGAAACAAATTGGGTCTCAGTATCACGTAATTAAGTTTCACGTTGATTGTATGCAACGAAAAAGAATATATAACCTGCAAATAACAATTGAACAAATGAATACACAAATGAACATGGCTACATATTTTCCTAACCAATAAATTGGAAATTTAAAAGTTTGATTTAAAGATGGTCAATGTTTGAAGATTTAGTGCTGCCACCATGCGGTATAACCTCGCTACTGCTTTCAATTTCATAATTTCCATACTTTTATGACCACTCCGTTGTATAATGTTGTATAAACTACTGGTTGCTCTAACATTAGACATTTTAAAATAAATATATCATATCTTCAAGTATGTGACGATCAAAGAGGTTACCAAAAGTAAAAGCCAATAGCATACGATTATTTTACCAAGCACCAATCCGCTACTTCTCTGATTCATCAGCGCTGCAAATGTTTCCGATTACCCGGAAGTAGGACCACGGAGCAACTGACAGTACACTAGCTCGTTAGCCAGCTAGCTTGGCTTCACTGACCTCCGCTCCCAAAATGGCTGGTGTTCGAGCTTTGGGTGTTCTTTCTAGATTCTCACTAAGAAGATACGCTTACTTCACAGGTACGAAATGCATGTGTTAATTTATCGGAGTTAAATTAAAGCTAACCTTATTGTGATATTGGACCAACTAGGTTAGACAAAGTGTCATGCAGAGGTGATTAGCTTGTTAGCAGCAGACATGCGACTCGTGTGCTAATTAACTTTGTACTTTCCTACTTCAACTTATGTTTCAATTAAATCTTGATAACAATACCCTTATGGAATTTAATTTGTGTTTCAGCGTTTAAACTTAAGTCTATAGTAGCTTTGTGTGTTTAGTTGTGTCGTTTGCCTCAGCTGGCGGCTGCCGAATTATCCAACTATATATGGGATTTGTGTTCGGTAATTTAAAATCTTGAATTAGACTATTGCTGCTTTTGGTCGAAATAAATAGCACTGCAAATAATTGAGTGGCTTGGCATTTTCCGTATTTATCAGAAGTACCTGTCATTCATTCTCTAATGTGATGGAAACTGTGTCAGTGGCTGGCGGAGAATCTAGGTGAAGGGTCATTTTCAGCTGGGTTGCTCAGTACGGCTGAGATTGTTTGAGGTCATGGCAAGGCAGAGTAATGTGATCTTCCAATATTTAAGACGTGTAGGTCAATGAGAATATTTTAATTTTTGTTCTTTTCTCACTATGATAATGATAATTGAATAATGTAGAAACTCATAATTGCTAATGATCAAGTATTTAATCCTTTAAGCAGTTAATTAATAGTGAAAAGTGGTACAGAGCAACAAAACAAATGGGTATTATAATGGCAAAATTAGTTTAAAACAAAGATAGATAGCAATTAAGATGTTTAATTTGATAATAAATGTGGACACTCTATACCAGCGAGTAATTTAAAGTTGTACAGATAAATCAAGAAATAAGATAAGTCATGAACGTAGATAATAATAAAATTAGTAATTTGTGTTAGAAATAACGAATAATTGCTATTTCTACTTAATTGGTGATTAAGAAAGAAATTAAATCCACTAAATGGATTTAAAAGTCTGCAATATTTATCAAACATGCCATGCAAACCATTAATTTTCTTAGTAGCATGCTGTATGTATATAACAGCTTCTGTAGGTCAAAGATCTTTTTAGCTCACCACTTTGGGTCCAGTAGTTTCTTAGCTCGACTTTGTAAACATCAGTTTTAAGATAGTTTATAAGAATGAAGCAGTGTGAACTTAGGTCCTGCTACTGTCTAAAAGTCACTATTTGTTGTGAATTTCTGTTTTACAGGCAGTCAGCATCGTGCCTTCTCAGTCGCACCTGCCATGCTTGGTAATTCACTGATCACCTCCTATTTATACCTTAGATATTTATATATAGCTAGATGTGTATATATATATATATAGATAGCTAGATACAGTATATATGTGTGCATGTGTCTTCTCACATCTTTATATTGTCTTTTTTTAGCCCGCACCCATGTGAACTATGAAGTCAAGGGTGACGTTGCTGTTGTGCGCATCAGTGACCCAAACTCTAAGGTATGAGCTCATGGTAAACAAAGGTGACATTTTCTTTTTTTAGTTTCTTATTTGATTATACAAACTTGAATATTTATTCTATTTTTGGCTGTGTTGTCTGACCCTAATCTATATTTTATATTTGTCTATGCATCCAATTCTTATATTGCTTGTGGGGCATGGGGGTTATGTAATCCAAGGCTTCTTTCAAGGAACAAATCACAACTTGTTTTGGTGTTCTTCCAACAGGTCAACACCCTTTCAGTCCAAATGCAAAAGGAAATGACAGAAGTCATGAATGAGGTCTGGGCCAACGATGCAGTTCAAAGTGCTGTACTCATCTCTTCAAAGCCAGGATGTTTCATAGCAGGAGCTGATA